GAGAAGTTATGACAAATCAGACTATAAGGCAAAAAGAAAGTGCAGCTTTATGGTTTCATGGACAAAAGAATTTCTGTGGCTGCAATATGATGAGCTAAATAACCAGGGCTGCACATAAGTGGTCCGCAGGTGCGCATTCGCTGTCAAAATAAAAAACGCACAAGGGTTAGGGTTAAATTTAAAAACTGTACTTTTGAGTTAAAATATATATTTATAATTTTAATAAATGACAAATTAAAAAGGCATGAACATTTTTTTTGTATCGAAAAAATATCGAACCGTGACACCAAAGTATCGAACCGAACCGAACCGTGAATTTTGTGTATCGTTGCACCCCTAATATATATATATATATATATATATATATATATATGTGTATATATATGTATATATGTGTATATATATATGTTGATCACTTGTATATATATATATATATAATATATATATATTATATTATATATTAATATATATAATATAATATATATAAGTGTTATGTATATATATATCTAATATATAAATATATATATATATATATAATATATTATATGTATATATATTATATATATGAGTATATGTATATATATTTATTTATGTATATATATATATATATATATATATATGTATATGTATAGATATATATGTATATTTATATATATATGTGTATATGTATGTATGTATATGTATGTATCAGTTTGTAATAAATAACATGGACTGATTAAATGTACCTTCAAACAAAAGGAAAGCTGAACCAAACTTAAAATCAAAGTACAAGTGTGTAAACAAAGATGGGGAAACATGATGTGTTTCTCCGCTGGAGCTCTCTGCAGAACACAGTCACATGGTTAACTAGTGGAGTGCTTTGATCCCACTCTGTCGTCCTGTTGTGTTTTGTGGTTTGAGCATTTGAGATGAAGCACAACAGCTGTTGTTTAAACATCATATATGGAAAATAAACTTAGCTCAACACATAGACAGTAGATTGACACCAACATGTAGTAGATGTCTGATACCACTGGAGTGGAACCTGCCTCTCATCATATAACAGCTGGGATAAACTCCAGTGCCCCTGTGACCCTGATAAGGATAAGTGAAAGAGAATGAATAGAGAGATGGATGTAAGCACATCGCATCAGGCTCCCTCGTGTGGCCATTTAAACACACTGCAAGCAACATCCTCCATTAAAAGATAAAGCATGAAATGACAAGATGGGACTACACAGAATGATAACCAAACTGTTTATATTGTGTGGATACAATGTTTTAATGTCAAAGCATCCATTCAATGATAACAGAAAAAATGTACATGTTGCAATTTCAGAACTTTTCTGAGAATCATCTTTTTTTTTATTTCTTTTCTAACTCAGAAGATAATTTCAACCCAACTTTTTTAGTTTGTTCGCTTCTTGTAGACACTTTTCTTCTATTTTTTTATTCTGCTTTTTATGTGACTCCAGGACATATGAAATATTTTTATAATGAGAAATTGCTGTTACTCAATTTGAAGAAGCACTGACAAAAGGTATATATAAGCAATTGTGTGAAATGTCTAAAATGTTTTGTCTGTCATTATTTAAAGAATATGATGTTTGAAAACTTTATAAAATACTTTTGGTATTGTTTTGCTACTTCCATGCTTCTGCCCTCTGTTTCACACTAATCCGAAGAGGCATTTGGCTTGAAAGTTTATCATAATTTAAAAATGTTTTATAGAAACATTTCCCCACCATGGAGCCAATTCCTTTTGAAAGGGTAAAAGTGCGTTGACAAATTACTGGTAAGTAACATTTTAAGATTGAAAGATTCACAAAGACACATAAAAGTCTTTAAATCAATGCAGACAAAAATACAGATTTTGAACATATAAAGAACCATGTTTTGGGCGCATGCCCACGCAGCGACCGGCAGTGAGTGAGAGCTTGGCATCCTAAGTTTTTAAGTTTTTATCATTTCTTTTCGGTTCTATTGCTGGCATGTGTTTTGGTTGAAAGAAGTGACAGTTTCTTACAAAGTGACACACGCTCCACAATAGTGAGAACGTCATGGATTCTTTCTTCTTCATTGTGGTTGGATTTCTACTGTGCTGGCTTGTTTCCAATGAGGTGGGCGAGGCCGTGAGTCAGCTGAGGATTGTTTATTCCCGCGACGAACTGTTACAACTTAACTTACCGTATGACGGTAAGGACCTCACCTCATGTATGCCGGATTTTATACATAAAGACTTTAACAGAACGAGTGAGAAGAGGAAGAGGAAAAGAGGGAGACGTGGAGGTGTTAAATTGCGCATGAGGAGACAACAGGTCAGTCGGTTTCCCCTGCCGTCTGTTATCCTTGGAAATGTTCAGTCTCTTAGGAACAAGCTGGATGAACTCCAGGGAAACGTCAGGTTCCAGAAAGACTTCAGGGACAGCTGTGTAATGGCTTTTTCCGAGACATGGCTGACGGAGCTGGATCAGGACGCCGATTTTTCAATTGACGGTTTTGGAGCTCCCTTTCGCCGGGATCGGGATGCACGGGTAACAGGGAAATCTCAAGGAGGGGGAGTATGCTTGTATGTGAACAAACGTTACTGTAGCGCTGTGACTGTTAGAGAGTGTATTTGTACACCAGATGTTGAACTTTTATCCGTGTCACTGCGCCCTTTTTATCTCCCCCGTGAGTTTCCACAACTTTTTATTACCGTAGTTTACATTCACCCGAAGGCTCACCCCGCCTCCACTTGCAGCATCATTTCAGATGTAGTACAGAAGCTGCAGGCGCTTTCTCCTGATGCACCAAACTTTATAATGGGGGACTTTAACCATGTCTCCCTTAAATCAACTTTGGGCAATCTGTATCAATATGTATCCTGTCCTACCAGACGGGATAAAATGTTGGACCTTTGTTACGGATCGGTGAAGAATGCTTATAAATCCCTCCCGCTTCCTCCTCTGGGATCTTCTGACCATAACTGTGTGCATCTTCTGCCCATCTATAAAACTGTCTTAAAACGAGAGAAGACAAAGACTAAGGATGTTGACATATGGTCAGAAGAATCTGTGCTTACCTTGCAGGAATGTTTTAAGTGTACAGATTGGGAAGTTTTTATTCAGTCTTGTGGAGATGATCTCGACGCTTTGGTGGATGTTACTAGCTCTTATGCAGTATTTTGTAAAGACATGATTATACCCCGTAAGCGCGTTAAAGTCTACGCTAACAATAAGCCATGGGTCACTAAAAGCGTCAAATCCTGTTTAAGGAAAAAGAGACAGGCCTTTAAAGAGGGGGCTGTTACCGATTTTCAGACAGCCACCAAGGAAATGAAAATCGAGATCTTGAAAGCAAAACAGAGCTACAAAAACCTTCTTGAAAGCAAATTTGCTGCAAAAAATTTTGGGTCTGCCTGGACTTGTATGAAAACCATAGCAGGGTTTCAAAATCCCCAGAGCAGCAGTCAGGTCATTTTAGATGGTTTTAATTCAGACAGAGATTTTGCAAATGCTTTAAACATGTTTTATGCTCGTTTTAGTTCTTCTGATTTTAGCGAGGATATTTTGGAACTGAAACAGAAACTGAGAGATACTCAGCACTTTATCATTGAACTCAGCGATGTTAAAAAGGCCTTTCATACAGTCAATGTGAACAAGAGCCAGGGTCCTGATAATATTAGTGGCCGCCTAATTAAATCTTGTGCTGATGAACTCAGTCCTATATTTCAGGTTATTTTTAACAAATCCTTGCAAACACAACATGTGCCCTCTCTTTGGAAAGAAGCAGTCGTGGTTCCTGTCCCTAAATCTAGTCGTCCAAAAATTCTAAACGACTTCAGGCCTGTTGCCCTCACTTCAGTTGTAATGAAAGTCTTTGAAAAAATCATCAGAAATGTGATTATGAAAGAGACTGAAGGTCAGCTGGATCCAATGCAGTTTGCATATAGGCCCAACAGAGGAGTGGAGGACGCACTTTTGACTTTACTAAATCTAATTCTTAAACATGTAGAGAGTAAAGGGACTTTTGCAAGACTTCTTTTCATTGATTTTTCTTCGGCTTTTAATACAATACAGCCCCATATTTTAATTAAAAGACTTTTAGAACAGTTTGAAATCAGGAAAAACCTGGTGGGCTGGATTTTAGATTTTTTAACTGACAGGTCACAAAGAGTGAGAATAAATGGGGTTCTGTCTGACCCAGTGTTCTCCTCCACAGGTTCTCCTCAAGGGTGCGTCCTATCGCCCTTATTATTCACTCTCTATACAAATATGTGTCAGGGCAGACATGAAAACAGGGTCATTATTAAATATGCAGATGACTCTGTTATTGTCAGCTTACTGAAAGAGGGTGAAATTAACCACGGTCCAGTCATTGATGACTTTGTTCAGTGGTGTGAGGAGTCTTATCTCCAGCTGAACATATCTAAAACAAAAGATATGGTGATTGATTTTAGGAAACAACAAAATGGGCACGGAGTCACTTTAATTAAAGGTCAGAAAATAGAGCAAGTACAATCATATAAATATCTTGGGACCATAATAAATGAAAAACTGAACTTTGATCAAAATTGCAAATCAGTTTGTAAAAAGGGTCACCAGCACCTTTATTGCCTTAGGAAACTTGTTCATTTCCACATTGACCAAAAAATTTTAACTTTGTTTTCTCGTTCTTTTATTGAGTCTGTTTTATCCTTTTGTTTGGTGGCATGGTTCGGTCAGACCTCTGTCACAGAGAAAAACTCTCTAAATCAGATAGTGAGATGGTCCAGTCGTCTGATAGGTGAGCCACAGTCTTGTTTAGCCTCCCTGTACTCTAAGCAGGTACAGAGGATGGCTTTATCAATCCTTAAAAATGGTTCCCATCCTCTAAGGGGTGAATTTCAGCTTCTTCCCTCAGGACGGAGGTTTCTATTTCCGAGATGCAGGACAAAGCGTTATAAAAATAGCTTTGTCCCCGTTGCTGTCACTGAATTAAATAAGAACTGTTTTTGATTCGAAATATTAAAATTACTATATATGTGCCACAGTGAGCTTTATATATTTACTAGGTATGTGTGGGGTTTTTTTTTGTTTGTTTTTAAAGGGATGCCAAATGCTGTCATTTTTCTGTAAAGCAAATTTACCTTGTCTTTGGGTATAAATAAAGTTACCTTACCTTACCTTCCTCGTGAAGCGTTGTAGTTTGTCATTGACTTCATCTCAACTTTTTACCACACAGACAAGGAACTGCTGTGATGCTTCACTTCCCATTTATTATCAACCAAATATTGTTTAATGGTGACTTTTCAAAATGAACTCAAACAAATACAAAGAAAAATTAATTTGTATTTTCCAACATCAAAATAACAAATGAAAAAAGAATATGTATCGAAACATAATAGCGAAAAGTAATGAAAGAAATGCAAATTAAACTAAATGCATGAAGTCTGTCATTGAACACTGTGTGACCCAGGACCACGACACAGTCTTTATGAAAGAAAGGAAAATTTGCACTTTTGAACTTATGTTGAAAAATGTGGTAACTTCATGTTTAGACTTACTGAATGAAACTCGAGTGAGTTTTAAAAACATGCAGGAAGTTTAAAATCGAAAATAAATTCCATTTTTAAAGATCAACAAAAATCAAAAACTGTAAAACTGACAATCTCTGAGTACATCACAACCCCATTAGTTTCATCTTCAGACGCAGAAACATTTTCTGTTATTACTAACTACTGAAATCCTGTTTAGAATTTATTGATTTTATCAACCACAAGTTAAGAGCTAACCAATCATATTCATATATATAAATGCATAAAATATTGCCCTTATGCTGAAGGATTCTCTAACCTGAATAACTGACCTCCATTTGCTCCACAGGAGCAGGAGCCTCCTGCTTTATGTTGAGTACGTCTGTCAGTAACTTGTTTTCCTTTGCCTCCTCCTCAACTCTTTTCAACAGTTCCTCATTTCCACTGTTCTTTAGATTACTCACAAACCTTTCAAATATCATAGTCAGCGGATGGGCATACTCAATTACACTTTCGACTTGTTTTATAAAACCATAGGTATATCCTGCAGTGTGCAAACCAAAAACTTTGCCAAGTCCATTAAACACTGGAGAGCCAGAGGCACCGTGATACATGAAAGTGTTGTAGGTCCCTACTTTTCCTGCTTTATGTCCACCCTGCAATATGTTTTCAATGCCTTGCTTTCTGACATGATCACTGAGCGAGTTTATGATAAATGGGTGTTTGTGCTGACTCAAATGTTCATCTATAGCCTGCCCTCTCTTCTCTATCTCAATGATAAATGTAGGATCCATTTCTTTTACTTGCCCTGCTGGATGTCCAATGATGCAGGCTTCACCATTGGCAGGCAGTGGACCAAACTTGCTGAGCAGCCCTGGTGGGACCATTATCTTCTGTGCTGTCTTTTGCTGGTTTGGTTTTGAGCCTTCAGGGTTGAGCTCCAGAACTGCATAATCTAGTTCAGCATCAAAGTCAATGAATGTATTCTTTGCTCTAAAGTAGTGGGAATTTTTTTCTGGCTCAGGCTCCTCATAATCAAAAATAGCAAACACTTCTACATCGTGCTGCAGCTCCTTTCCTTCAACGTAACCTTCAAATAAATGTGCGCTAGTCAGGATGAAAGTATCAAACAGCACAAAGCCTGTTCCCATAGAAACATCCTTAATAACGAGTTTGCAAACTGACTTTCCCAGTTCTAGCAGCTTCCTGACTCTGTGAACTTGGCTGAAGGACTGCTGGATCTTTCCAAAGTTTTCCTTCCTGAGATTCAGTGCTTCCTGGAAAGAATCACCAGGGAATCTTCTCTCCATCAATCGTTTCAGATCTGGAAACTGCTCACGCAGTAGTTCATAAATCTTGTCTCTATCAACATCACTGCTGGTTTCTATCACTGTTTTTACACAGATTCCCTCCTGTCGTGTTAAATCGATAATCTCTGACTCTGATCTGCTTTCACATTTACTTTGAGAATTATTTGATGGGCTTTCTTGCAGCTTTTCATTTTTTATTTTTTTTTTATCTTTTGGAAGGCGTATCTTGAATTGTTTCTGGTGTAGGTTTTTTACCTTTTGTGTGCATACAGTGAGGTGGTCTGGGTTATTATTGTCAGACAGCTTAAAGCTGCCAAGGTCATCAATGAAGCGACCGTCTCTCTTCAGAGCCTCAGCCACAGTTATTCCCTTTTCTCCATAAACACAGAGGTTCTTGAAATGTTTTACATGATTATTTTTAAAAAGTTTCTTTTTTTTAGTGTGTAGCCCACCAACTGTGTCTATATAGAAGACAGAATAGTGCCCTTTTGGATGCACTATTTTGGAATGTTGGACTTTACCTTCAACTTTTTCTGCTCTACGTGATATGATCAGACACTCACCATCATCAATACAAGAACAGGGGAAATGTGTTGCAACACTTGACTTCTTATCCTCTTTACCTAACTGAATGATAATGTTCTCATCTGCATACGTAATGTTCTCATTGCATTCCTCATTTGATTTTATGGCTTCTAGAACTGTGCGAAGCTGATCACACTGAACAGTGTATTCATTACTATTTTGACCAAATTTCACTGTGAATTCATGTGAGTGTTGGACCTAGAGGAAATTAAAGAGATGGTTAGAAACAGAGTGGTGCTTAAAAAGCAAGGCAGAGCAGAATACTCATGTAATGTAACAGGATATACTTACAATGAAATCACTGTCATTTTCTTTCTTCACACATCGTGTAAATCCCTGCACAAATGACAGATATTAAGGTGAAATATAAATGAGGTGAAATGTCTCAAAAAGGTCCAGACGCTTTTCTTTCCAAAGCTCCTTAGACTACGATGACCTGGATGACTGATAAGCTACACGGACATCTCAAAAACTTACAAGCATATTTATTACTCAATTAGCTATTTTCACATCGACATAAGACCTCACCTGAGGGGATTTAGGTCCCTCTGGCTGCATGGTTGCTCTGCTGCTGCTGCCACTGGGACTGTCCTGATGAAAAACAAAAGCAAAAAAAGAAAAGCACAGATAAAGTTATTTGGCTAATAGATGCAGAGTATAAATGGGGAAGCAATAACACTGCAGCATTGTTAGCTTTTACTTACCCTTTGCTTAGCAAAAAAGTCCCTAATATCACCTGTGTTCTTTGGTCGTTTGGGAGGTATTTTCTCCTGAAATCATGACCATAAAAGCAGAGTATGTCAAGTGCTTGTTCTTAATGGGGGGAGTAAGTCTCTTTTTTTCTACTCTATTCTTCAAGGAGTGATGAGTTCAGAAAAATAATTCATATCTAAAAATATCCAGAAATGAAAAATGTTGAAAATGCCTGTTGACACATATCATGAGCAAATACTTAGAAAATGTCACAATACAATCAAACTCAGTTGAAGCAATTAACCTTGGATGTCTTGTGGGTTTCTCCAACTTTCTCCAAGCTCAGGCTTGGCTGCTTTTGGAAAATACACTACACAAGTAGCAACAAATTGCCCGCCAAAAGTCAAAGCTATGTCACACTTCTAGTTACTCTTGAGCCATGCCTCTAAACTAATCAATATAGAGCCCTGCCCAGCAGCTTAATATGGTTGCTTAGAAGGACTTACACGAAAATAGGTACCTTTTTGTTTCTCCCAAAAAGGCCTAACAGGAACATTTCTTGCTCTAGGAAACCAAAATATGGCATCTTCATACTCATTTTTGCAAGTGTTGGATTTTATTTTTTAAGACACTAGATGTAGCCTGTCTGTATATTGGTATTTTATACTCCGACAGGTATAATTTCAAAATTACAAGCAGAAAAAACCTGGACAAGCTGGCTCATTGGTTTTTCCTGTGATTAGCATGTTTTAGCATGTTAAGACAAGACTGGTCTAATAACTTTATGTATACAGATGTCCCTGGTGAGTGTGTTTGGTGGAAGTAAAACAAACGACTGAAGGAAGCTCTTTGTTCTTTAACGTCTCAATGGTTTGGTTTAAAAAAAAAAAAAGAATGCCCCAGTCAGTTATTATCGTGAATAGCCATGCAGATAGCTTCGGTTTACTGGCAAAGGCCAAGAAGATTTTTATAACAAAATTGTCTTCCTTTACTCCTCTTTGCATCAAACAGACAACTTTCAGCTTACACTGAAGCAGACAACGGGTGGATCTGTAAAATCTGACAAAGCTTGGGGAATTGGTGTGTCCGCAGTTATCAACTATTAATGACTTACACATGTGTGATCTGTGATTGTTTGAATATGAAATTTCGGCGGGTAATGAACAATGACTCACTGCTCGCTTCCACGTGGAAAGGAAGTAATTAAAAGTGGGAAAAACCTGGT